AGCCCCTCCCTAAATAGGCTAATTCCCAGACACAAGCCTTGCCTATCGTACCCACCCTTTTCTGGATGGCTATGTCTTGCAGAGGCCCTTGCCCAAACAAGGGCTGCCCCTGTGTAAAAATCTGCACTCATATGCATACCCAGGAGTGAGATGAAAGAAGTCAGCCTTCCTTGCCATTTTCCTCTGGGTTCAGTGTTTAAGTCTCTGAGCCGCTCCATGATGTTTCCATAACATGTCAAGCCATCTCCCACATAACCTTTCTGGCAAGTGCATCTACAGGAAGGGCGAGAACACATTCTCAGGGTCGTTGAGCCATTGAATGTTAAGCCTGGGAGGGGTCTGATATCATCCAGCCCATTGGCTCCATTATACAGACGGCCCAGGGCGGTGACTAGGCCAGGAGAGGAGAGGCACCAACATAAGAGAGCATTCCTAGTACAGGGCCTGGCACATAAGGGGCCTCAGGAAATGTATATTTCGTAAATGACATGTCTCCATAGGGGAGTTCTGGTGGCGTAGTGCCTAAGGCATTTGATTGCTAACCAGAAGGCTGGTAGTTCAAACCCACCAGCCACTCCTTGGAAGGAAGGATGGGCAATCTACTTCCGTAGTGATACCGCCTCAGAAACCCAAGGAGGGGTTGCTATGAGTCGGCTCTGACTCAACGGCAGTGAGTTTGATTTTGGTTTGATGTCTCTATAGAAATAAGATTTTTTTTCTGCTCTTTTTTGTCTCGGTATTTTTCAGTGTAGTCAAGGGCCCATGTGCATCAGACCCACTTGGGGATTACTGCAGTAAAACCTGTGAAAGCCTGAACCTGTGTAAGACAGTAGCAAGCCCCCTGTCAAAAGTGGAGAACTTGTGAGATCTAGAAAAACCAGGCTGTCCTGTTGAGTTCCAGCTCCCACAGGTTTCACTGCAGAAGATTCTAGGGCCCCACTGCAGAATCACTCAACAGAATAAGCTATTGTGATCAGCCTTAAATAGTAAAGATTTAGAGCTATCAATCTGTTTAAGATAGTCTTCCTCCTTCTCTACTCAGCAGTTGCCTCCTTAGGGAAGCCTTCCTGGATTGCACTGTCCCTAGCCCACACTGTCGATGAAGCCCTCTTATATTGTGTGCTCCCAGAGCACTGTGCTCTTCTTTCTTCTTCATAATACCCATTACGGCTGAGATCTTGCCCTAGTCTGTGTGGTTATTTGATTCATGTCTGCTTTCCCATCTAATCTGAGGGCAGGGGCTGTGTATAAGTTTGTTCTCTGTTGTAACCCCAGGAGCTAGCACAGGGCTTGGTCTGTGGAAACTACTTAATTAATAGTTGTGTAAGTAGTAATTAATAAACAATGAAAGTTGAAGACATTTAATAATAGTTTAGTTTCATAAAAGAGAAATATATAGAATTAAAGATGAAACAGAAGGCACACTTACTCTAAACAGAAAACAAAACAAAAATCCATGAAGAAACAAAAAACCATCATTGCTAACTTCTTATATGTTGTTGTTGTTATGTGCCGTCGAGTCGGACCCGACTCATAGCGACCCCTCCTTGGGTTTCCGAGGCAGTATCACTAC